TCAATTAAAAAATCAACAAGACCTATTGTTATGGTGCAATCCATTTAGAAATGAAATCAATCATTGGAGTAGATATTGATACATTGTGAATTGATTACACTAAAAAAGATTCTGAACAAGGTAAGTAAAATAAATTAAAATTAAATTAAAATTAAAATTAAATACATACATTTTTTTATTTATAGATACTGAATGTAAGATGGATCATGCAAGAAAAAAAGATGGCAAAGAAGGTAAGTAAAATAATAAAAAATAAATTAAAATTAAAATTAAATACTTACTTTTTTTCTTTCTGTAAATATCAAATGCAAGATAGATTGCACTAGAAAAAAGGCACCAAAAAAGGTAAGTAAAAAAATCGAATTAAATATTTTTATTCAAAAATCAGAAATATTTACCTATTTATTTACTATTTTCATATATTTTCATAACCGACTCAGGAACTTGCCGGTCTAATCGATATTTTTGATGACGAATATAGCACTATATTCTATAAGACCAACTCGATATGCACTTATATAACGGAATAATCGTCAAGCATATTGTCAAATGGTTATAATAGAAACTGAATTCAATGCAACAGGAACTATAGTCTTTAGTTCATGAAATGTATAATTGCAGTTCTTTCTGATATATTGTTTCACTGCACCCCAAAAGCTTTCAATATAGGATAGGAGATAAATATATGTAAACAATTTCTTGTAGTAATGGTTGTTGTGTGATAAAATCAGGCTCTGATGACAAAATATGCAAAGCACAACAATTGGATCGATTTTTTGGGCAATTTCGTCACAGTCCTTGTCACCAAAGACCTCTTTCAATTAGTACTGTACACATGCCTTTTATTAATTAATTAATGTAAATTAAATAGTAATTAAATAAAATATAATATAGAATTTATTCCAGTTATTTATTTACCTTTAGGGTTTCCATTAGGCAATATCATTTGTTGTTCTTTTCCATTTTGCATTTTTGTAGTTCATATTTTTAGTTGCTGATCACCATCGCTAAAATTCATTCTTGATGCTACAAGAGTATCTTTTGCAAATGCATTATGATTAAAACTATTATTGAATACAAATACTCCAATATGCCCCAGATGTATTTTCTCAAAAATTGGAATTGCTCTGTTCTTTAGTTAAAATAAAAATAAATAAATTTAGAATTCTTTAAAATAAATATGATTTTTTAAAACCTATCTGTTCTGCTATGTTTTTATGTATCCAGTATCCATCTCTGTTTTTTTCCAGTTTAATAATAACCAAGCTTCAATATATGGAAGATGGTTTGGATAATTAAGTGGAAGTTATTTATTCTTCTCTTTTTCCTTAGTGTTTAATTGTAACCTTCCCAAGGTTTCACATAAAAATTCACTAACATGAAGAGATGCATCTTGACTTTTTGATCTAAGTGGCTGTTCACCTTGAGAACCTCAATAATAACTTTCACCATCATTCGCATAAAAAGTAGACTCATCATATGTAACAAAAACAAAAGAAAATTGATCAGATGAAAGATCTGGTGCTACTTCCACATCTAACTCTTTACCATCAAAGTAAATTAAAAACTTTTCTATTTCTTCCATCCGATGTAAGAATTTCATTCTTTCTTCCACAACATCAGATCATTCATGACCATTGAAATAGAATCCTTTTTGATATGGCTTATGTTCCCAATCCAGTTTTTGAAGCCATTTTCTACATGTCTCTTCGGAAATAGTCATTCTTTGTTCAACTCCTAGTCCAGGCAATATAGTATCTTCAATAAATGTTTTGAATTTTCAAATTGATATGTGGAACTTGTATAATCGTAAATATTGAGTAATTTGTGATCAAATATCTTCATCATTTAAAATTGATAATATTTTTGATGTTTTCCTCTTTTTGATATTGAAAGTTGACATGTTTGAGTATATTGTTTTGCCCATCCTCAAATAAGTCATGCATGATAAGATCCTTTTCCTAATGATGTTGCTATAACCTCACTTGCCTTTATTTTTTTCCAATTATTAGTTATTAAATTTAAATAACCAAAAAGAATTTTTAACGTAAATCAATATGCTTATCTTTTTCAATAATTTCTTTTTAGGGAGATAATGATATCAGAAGTTTATGTTGGTATACTAAAAAAAATACAGGTGATCACAAGTATCGGAATGATGGTTTTTTATATACAGTATATAAAAAAAATTTTTTTTTCTCCTTATTTCTTAAAATATCAATACATTGTTGCGCAACCTTGGGCCTCGATACATGCTTGAATTCGGTGGGGCATACTTTCAATTAATTTATAAATATAATCAAGTGAAATTGAATGCCACACAGTTTTTACTTTGCACTCTAAATCATCAATATTTTTTGGCTGGTTACATAAGTTACAACATACCTTTCTATCAACCTTATTCCAGAGGTTCTCGATTGGGTTAAGATCGGGGCTTTGTGCAGGCCAGGATAGTACGGAAATGCCTGCCAACTTACGAAAATCAGCAGCGATCTTCGCACGATAGGGAGGGGGCATTGTCCTCTTGAAGAGTCCTCTACAACTGACCAACCTATGCAATGAAGGGATAGCATGCTTCTGCAATACTTTAGAATACACTTTTCCCATCATAAATTCACAAATCGGAACGAGTGGCCCCAGCCCACTCCACGAAAAGCACCCCCAGAACATTCGAGTAGGACTGTGCCTCACCATAGCACTCAGACAAGAAGTGTAAAATTCTTTTTCTGGTGTTCGCCACACATGAAAGCTGCAACCCTGCGAGAACTGACTGAATGTGGACTCATCAGACCACATTATTTTTTGCCACTTTGCAATTGACCAGTTTCGTCGCTCCTTGGTTTTTTTCTAAGATTAGTGGTTTGGTACGAGCGCAGACCAATTTTTTTGAGAGTATGTCGAATCATAACTGCTGACATGTTAATTTTTTTTTTATTCCATAGGTTTTGGATTTCGCGAACGGAGAGGCGACGACGCTTGGCACTGTCAGTGACAAGTTTTTTCAACGTGATTTGCACGCGAAAGTTAAATATTGGTTCCGGGCCACTATGTTTTTGGGGTGTTGTGGATTCTGTTTCTTTATACCGTTTTATAATGGTAAATGAAGTGGTCTTGCCACACTGGATACTTTCGGCAATTTTTTATATGAATCACCATATAAGTATTCATAAAGGATTGCCCCATGTTGCTTAGCAGTTAATTCTTTATTTTTTTCAGCCATCATTTTAATAAATAAATCATATGTTTTGTGTTGACCATGTAATCTATAAAAATGATTAATAAAAGCCTTGCGTGTATCACACTTAGCCCCCCTCCAAAAAAATAAAAAAAAATAAATCATATGTTTATAACATAACTGCTTATAAATACAATAATAGGGAAGGGGTGGAAATAACATGTAATTAAATAAATTATACTATGTGTAAACAAAAATAAGTAAATAATAAATAAAAACATAACCATTCCAATATCTGTAATCACTCTCTGTATGTTAGCAATAAAAAAATAATGGGCAAAAAATGGTGGTTTTTGCATGATAATGACCCTAAGCATACGAGCCACTTAAAAAAATCATATCTTAAAATGAATATGCCGGAGGTTATTGATTGGCCGTCCAACAGCCCGGATATCAACCCAATCAAAAACCTATGGAGTATTGTAAAATGAAGGGTAGAAAAAAGGATGCCGTGAAATTCAGACAATTTAATTCAATATATGGTTGAGGAGTGGGGTTCTATTTCAAAGGTCACCTTAAAAAATCTGGTTAATTCAATGAAGACTAGATGTGAGCTTATTATAAAAAATAATGGAGAATATATTGATTACTGAAAATAGCATAAATTTAATTACATATACTTAACTTTATAATCTAATAATTTTAAATAAATTTGGTTGATCAATAAAAAGTTATCATTTACATAATAATTGCAAAAAATTTTGTGCCACACTATATGTAAGGGAAAAGAGATAAAAAGAAATTTTAAGGGAAGGAAGAAACAGCACAAGTGTGCACAAAAAAGAAAGGATAATAAAAGAAGAAAAAAGCCATTATCTATTCTAACTATTATTGGAAAAGTATCTCTATAATTCAAAACCTGAGCCCCTCATAATTGCTATTGTGCTTACTTGTTACCACCAGTGATCAGCTGGACTGTTTAATTTCTATTGAAGTGGTAATATTCAAGAATATTTAAGGGCACTTCTAGAAGAATATTTTTCGAAACTTTATACTTAAAGACTTCTAACCAGAAAGAATGTTGGTTTTCTATTGTTAATTTCTTTTCCAAGCCATGTCTTCTGGAATTATTGCTTCACTCAACCAGTGGATAGTTTCAAGACCCCTTTCTTCAATTATTTTCAGAATAAATAATCATTACTCCAACTTGTTATCAGATTGGAATAGGATTTGAGTCTTGTTCTATTCCCTGCCTCTAGTAAGAATAGGAAAGAAAGAAGGAAAAACAAAAAGAGATCATTTCTCCTTACTCACAACTTCAACTTCATCTAGTACTACTATACTATTCCTTCAACTAAAAACTATCCAACTCTTTCAAGAACCAATTACATCATCAGGTTTTATGTTGCACAACTGGAAACATATGAGAAGATATGTCTTGTTTACTTTTTCTGTAGCTGACATGATTAACCAATTTGTGACCTTGATCAGAAGATCTCTGGTGTAACCAAAATTCAGGATCAAACTGAGGTAGGCAAAATTCTTTAGAAAAACCAAAAAAAAAGGAAGCATGCTTGAAGAAAGAGAAATAGGAAGCTAAAGAGATGATAGAGAGGCTGGAGGTTTCTTTTTCCTTATTTTTCTGGATTCTTGAACCTCTTGGAAGTCTTTGGAGAGTATTTTTTCTTGTTAGTTTTCTTTCTAAAAAGGTGTTCTTGCCATAGACCTCTGGGGTAGGTTTTTTATATTTAATTGCAAAAATAAACAAGAAAAGTATTTTGAAAAGAAAGAAGTAAACAAGTAATAGCTGCTGCTAACTTTGCTGGTAAAGAAACCAGTGTTTTAAGAAAAGTGTATAGACTTTATTATTATAAAAAATAAAATCTTTTGAGAATGTCTGTTTTTGGGTTGGCAAAAGGATCAGCAGAAAAGTGTTATTAATATATTTGCTTTCCAAATATAATTTGATATATAATAAGTAAAAGTAGTATTTTAATAAAAGTATTAGCTAATAAAAAAAAATACTCTTTCTCAAAAACCACAAATTTCTTAAAAATTTTTTTTTGATAATATACAAAAAAAAACATTCAAAGAAATACTAAAAGAAGTACTCAAGGCAAACCTTTACTAGAAAGAAATACTTTATTACTTCTCTCTAAAACCAAAGAAGAATACAAAGAATAGGTATATATTGAATTTAAAAGAATACTAACTTTTTTCTTTATTTTATATAAAAAAATATATACTTGTTTTTTTTTACTAGAAAAGAGAAAAAAACAAGGAATATACATTTTACAAGCTACTAGAAAATATATATCAGGTTAAATACCTTCCTAGACATTAGCAAGACTTGGT